TGTAAATATTTACTTTTTGTTTAGCTCGCAATTAGTTTAAACTAACATTTCAGCTTTAATTAGATGATCAAAAGATGATTGATAAAAGAAAAAATATAACAGAAGATGATGGCGACTAATAACAAACTAAATTTAATTATACTGCTTCAATTTAATTTGATAAGTACTTTAATTTGTGAAATATTGTTTAAAAAGAATTAATATAGAAAATATAGTTTTCATTTTTAGATCATCTTGTACCCGACTTAGTTAATTTCACGCCCTAGTTCGAGTCGTAACAAAGAGGACTTACGTTGCAAAGCTAACCCAAATAATTAGGTCAGCCTGCTCCCTTGCCTCCCTCCCGAAATCGGTCCAATTGTCCCAGTTGTGTCAGCCGCCGGTTCAATAGAGCCCTGCACTAAATTTAGTGATAGATACAAGAGCATGAAAGATCCCAAAGCTGAAATAGATAATCTTAACCATTAGATTGTCCCCACACAATACATGGTAACAACTTAAGTTTATTCCACTTTTGTAAGGAAGTGGAGTTACCAAAAATTTCGAACTTATAGCACAATGGAATTTGAAAATGCATTAGTTTCCCTACCATATAAGTGAAAATGAGTATCAATTAATTTTTATTAAAAATTATTCAAAATGCTCCATATTAGATTATATGTGAAACTACTATTTTTAGCACCTCATCTTCTTGGACAAATACCTCAGATGACACTTAGTGGATAAAAATGGACGTCAACAACTCTCACACTAAAAAATTATATCAACTTGAGGTCTAGTAGGACCTAACATTATGTTCAGCGCCTGAATATTTAAGACATTATATCACCTAGTAAGTGCGGTCACTTATAATAGCACCAATTTAAATTTTTGATGCCTTTCAAATGCAAGAACATTTATAAGATTTTCCTTCTCATTGGTATTGCTCAATAAATATTTCAATTTTTTCATGATTGCTCAATTTTGTTATGTTAAATGTTTCAATAATATTTTACTTTGATTTACCTTTAAAATAAATGCTATCCAATATATGCAAAAAAAATATAGCCTAATAAAGACATGTAGTATCAATGTGAAAGTCTGGAAGCACTATTGTAGATGTATAAAATAATGAAAAGAAAGAAATTTTTTCAAAAAAAATTGAACTCTAAATGAATTATTTCTTTAACCATTGCTTTGAAGAAATATAACTTTATATGCTTCATAATACATGCAATTAACCAAATATTCTTGTTGTTGGTTTTCTTATAAAAATAAACCTAAAACGTCATTTCGGACTAGAATGTCTATGATAAAAAATATAAGTCATAACCCTCAAGGGAAGAGACATACAAATTATTGAATAACAATGATGCTCGAATGCCCGTCTTCCAAAAACCTTCTGTCTCCCAAAATCTTAGAGCAATTGTGGTCTATGGTAAAGCTTCAGAGTGACACACTCCATTACAATCATCTTTTGTTAAAGGTATGTGATATTATATTTTTTATTATTTGAGCATAATTGTGTTCATAATAGACAATTGTAAATTGTATGGGCACATTAAAGGGGCACCTAAGGTTTAGAAAATGAACAATAGTATAAACTTATACTAGAAATATTGAACCCTAGTTGCACACTGAAACCTAAATCCTAGCTCAATAAACATCATATTAGTTATTTTAACTGTCTGAACCTTGTTCAAAAATAAGATTTGAACTTTATCTGCACCAAAAGAGTTAACCATGTTCGAAGCTTACTTGACTGGGTTCATACATATTCAAACCATGTCTTATTGTTTTTTGTTGCTTACTTTTTATAAAATTGATTCATTTAAGTTGGTTTGCTATCTATGCAAATGTTCGCAGTAATCATACTTGCAGAAAGATATTACAGTACTCGGGTGGTAATATAGAGTTGAGGCAATGATTGATAAAGTTTTTGACGGTTTGAAGCTTTTGATCTTCTTAGAAAAACAAAAAAAAATTAAAACTTCAACGAAAAGTTTACATTTTCAACATTTTACAACTTTTAGATGTGAGATCAAATTAGGCATTTTATAGCGACATAGATGAGTATATTAAATCTTATTGAATGAAAAGAGATTCGCTTCATCAATAGTATATACCCGAAACACAAGAGAGAATTGGCCGTCAAGGCTGCAGTGCCATGTAGTTCTCAACTTCTCACATAACACATGCTAGGTCAGTTTTCAGAGGTTCTCGAATCATACCTGTTAGGTGGCCAAATTTAACCCAACCTTTGACGAACAACAAAACAGTTTTCAGAGGTTCTCGACTTCCCACACAACATATAGCGACTATGTAGTTCTCAACTTCCCACAGAACATTTGATTCCATATCTAGTGAGAGCCATAGAACATTTGATTCCATAGACACCTCTATTGGTTGTTCTTAACTGTTTCTTCCGACTACAAGTGTCATCTAGACGGTCATTCGCAATACTTACTCGGACTTAGGTGATTTTGGACAACTCTAAGAAGTTTCTAATAAGGTCCGCGCGGCTAAACAGGGATTGAAGACGGTGAACCAATACTACGGCTTATTTGCTTAATGGATGAAATGTGAACTCTACTATGACTACACATAGGACTCCCGCAGAAATTTCCCGCTTCCATAAGATTTTGGAGAAGCATCTTGTGTTTAAATTTCTAGTTAGCCTGAACAATGAACTTGATGAAGTCTGCAGTTGTATAGTTGGTCATGACACTCTTCCTTCAACCCAGGAATCATTCACCGATATCTGTTGTGAAGAAAACTGGAGACTTATCATGCTCGCCAACTAAACTCCTCATATGAGCTGCCAACCTTGGTCTCCAAGAATACTCCATACACTGTCACGTCGTCTCGAGCCGATCACTCCACATGTGATTTTTGCCACAAACTCTACCATACCCATAATAAGTGTTAGAAGCTCCACGGAAAACCAGCAAATAAGTATTTGACCAAATCTTCCACTACTAAAGGTCTCGTGACCTTGGAATCCACAACAACCTAATCGACCCCTATGCTAAAGGTCTCGTTGTGACCTTGGAATCCACAACAACCTAATCGACCCCTACTCGAACCATTCCGAACTTGTCAAACTCTATTATGAGTCAAGTGGAACATTTGATTAAGTTGTTTGGTTCTAGTCAGTTCTATTTGTCGACCTCTCATGTTCATCAAAGTAACATTTCTATGGCTCTCACTAGTTTTGCTTCTTCAGATCCGTGGATTATCGATTCAAGGTCCACGGACCACATGACTGGGTGTTCTCAATTTTTTTCGACGTATTCTCCTCGCTTTAGGTGATGCAATTAAAATTTTTTACGGTACCTTTAATTTCATAGCGAGTAAAAGGTCGATTTTACTAGCAATCGTGCTGACTTTGGAATCTATGTCACACGTTCCTTTGTTTAAGTGTAACTTCTTATACGTCAGTAAGTTAACATATGATCTTGATGGCGTAGATCATTTTTTCATGATTTTTGTGTCTTACAGGATCGTCGTTCGGGGAGAATGATTAGAGCAACTAAGCGGATAGTCGGGCTATATTTTATACAATAAAATTGCATTGATGGCATTAACACTCAATCTCATAGCTGAGTTTTTCCATTTCTACTGCATGTCCATTTACGCTTTAACATTATCATTTGGGTCCTCTCAGCTTTCATTTTTTAAAACAATTGTACCATTTGATGTTTATTGATAAAAATTCATTTTTTTTTAATGTGAAAATTTTTAATTAGCTAAACATCAACATGTATCATATCCACCTTATCTGTACACTTCTTTCTCCCCTTTTTCAATTATTCATAGTGATTTATGGAGACCCTCCCGAGCGTCGAGCTATACTAATAAACGGTGGTTCCTTACTCTAATTGATGACTATACTCGGATGTCGTAGGTCTATGTATTAAGAGATAAATATGAAACCACTGTTACATTTAAAAATTTTCAATCCTTATTTCTAACCAAAATCAAAAGCATTATTCAAGTACATCAGACCAACAATTGTCGTGAGTACTTTAACTCTATATTGAGAGAATTTTCAGTTAGTAAGAGCATCCTCCATCATAATTCTTATACGGATACCCCTCAACAAACGAGATAGTCGAGCGAAAAAATAGGCACCATGTCAAAGTTGTTCATATTATTAAATTTCAAACTAATGTTAAAAGTTGTTCATCAATAGAGTTCCTGCAAAAATCCACAACTTTCAGACCCCATTACCTGTCGTGATATCAGGTTCTCCTACCAACTGATTCTTCTCCTTGTTGGATCCCCACCAAGGCTTAGGGCACTCAATTCACTATGCAACAAGTAGAAAAGAAGATATTTGCTAAAAGCTTGCTTCAAAAAAAGTTGCGTTTATTAGCACAAATACCCAGCATATTGGTCAAAGAGCAATAAAAAATGCACACAGTGATTAGGATAAAAATTGGCAACTGAGGTTCCTATTAAACAAGGAGCTTTAAAAAAGTAGGTACTTTCAAAAAACAGAGAAAAAGCTGCTCTTTTAAATATATGCTTATAAAAACAGAGAGAAGATAAATAGCCAAAACATTAGCAGCTGCATTATCATAAACTCAATGCCAATAAACATTGGGTAAAACACCTCCCAAGGTATCTCTGTTTTTTGTTTTTTTTTTTAATATATATAACTTTACTTGTTCTTACCATTTACGGTACTTAACTTTTCAGACAAATATTTCAGAGGAACTGTCAAATAGCTAACAGTTTAAATTTGATTTATCAGGCAGCTTAAATTGTCTCAACACTTCAAACAATGGGAAAAAAAGAACATGCGCTATTTGAAATGCGTAGAAACATGGATTATGAAATGCAGGGAGAGAAATAGAAATGGGCTTGAATTCTTAATCCAGCTATCTTGTGTAAATCCATGCACATAAATATTAATTTATTAATAAAAAATAAAGTCAAAACAAAAAATTTTATAGCACTCGATATTACTTGATGAAACTGCATACTCAAATTCAGTAAGCATTTGAATAACTTACTCGTAACTTCTTCAAAATGTTTATAAGTGAAATAAGCGAGGGAATCATAAGATCAACTAGGCTCTGCTCATAGCTTCGTTCCAAAAGCAGTTCAGCGGTAGAATTGCATTCTGCTCCATCAACAAGATAATCTGAACCTCAAAAAGGTAGAAAGGCACGGTAAAAATGGTTACAAAGATCTGAGTAGTAGCACACCTAGTTAACAAGGCATAAAGCAAACTTCTTGGACAAACATTAAAAACGGATATGTAGATCAGTTCGCAAGAATAGTGGTTCCTCTAAGAACCTAAAATGTACAAAAATCTTTAGCCTACTTGCAAGACAGCTTTGTGTTTCTTCAACAATACAATATGGTTTTATCTTCCATAATGAGTCTACCTCCGAAAAACGAAAATATCATTGATTTAAACATTTTCCTTAAAATCCTCTTCATTCTAGTTCAAGTAAGAGGAGACCAAAATTGTGCATTTTCAGTTTCCAGCAGTTCACCATCAAACCATTTCAATCAAAGTTCTATCACCCTATGTTAATAGATGTTACTCCACATTTCAAAATTTACTTTATGTAGCTTACCACACATCAAAATCACTATTTCCATTTTGCTATGCCACTTAGATTGATTGCATCATTGTGCATTATACTCAGTCTCACAGACAAAGCCAAAAAAGTTTCCTTTTGTATCATTTCCCATTGACCACCATGATATTCTTATCACAAAGCATGTAGATGTCCCCTACATTTACCACCAAAATTTAATCTTTACAGATAAATTTAAGATTGTTAAACCTTAATAACATTTAGATAGAAAAATTCATAATTCTTGTAAATCATTATTTGAATATTTATTGTACCAGCATGCAATTCATATAATAGCACCGATAACAACTTAATCTAAATAAATAAATGCTCGCAATTTTCAGGAATCTGTCAAAAGAAAAAGACAGGCTTGACAAAGATCTTTGGAAAAGCCCACTGCAAACTATCTTACATAACTAAACGGCTAACAATTACAAATCATTGATTACTCTTTGCACATAACATAAAAAAAGATATTATGGTAACTTTTCATATATTAGAATCAGACTCAACTAACGAACACAACTAGATTTCGATTTTTCATGTGACTAAGAGACGAGATCTTCTAAAAGCATCAGAAACAAATCTCCAACAAGATCTTAAGCAATACACGAGTATTTTTGTATGGTTGGAATCTTACTGAGTAGTGCTGAAAAAATTAAAAATGATAAAATTAAATTTTAATTAAATTTGTGCACATCTCTAATATGATCATAAGTATTTTTATAAAATTCTACATTTTGTTATGATCACCTTGAAACAAATATGTAAATATGAAAGATTTAGTGTGGTAGCTTATATAAAACAACTTTTTTTAATTTTATTATTAGTCCAAAGTTAAATTAATAATATTCTTACATTATTTAACACATTGCACACAGGAGTAATGCCCTATAGTGCTACGATTGGCAATTCCAATAAGCAATACATGCATCAGCTGATTTTTTTTTTCTTGTTTTTTTTTTTTTTGGAATCAGCAGATATTTAAAGGAACGATGGAGATGGATTTAGGTTAAGCATATTAGGTATATAAATTATACATATAAATTACAATTTATATTAAACCTTAAGCAAGAACTCTCCAGCCAACGGGTGAAACAGAGAAATGCTGGTGAAGTAGAAAAAAGAAGAGGTGTGGATAAGGAGGAGGACGAGGAGAGAACTAATGTTTAAAGGTAGTAATTCAGCTTTTGGTGCTTTCTTCTGTAAAAAGAGTTGGCTTTTAAATGAGGAGAAATCATTCCAGGGTAAAAATACTAATTTGTGTTTAATTGAGCTGTGAGCTGTTAATTTGGAAATTTGTATATATTGAGGAAATTAATCTTTTTATCAAGTGATTAATTGAAGAACAAGATATTGAGGCAATAAAAATTAGGAGATTTGTCCCAACAAAAATCTTACAATTACAGTAAGATACTCAATTTCTAATATAGAGAGGACATAAATCATAAGTATAATGATTTCAATTTCAAATATCCATTAGACTGGATGTGCATATGAAAAATAATTTCTTTAAATTGACCATTTTAATAATATTTAATGTTATAAGAAAAAACTAATGATATGCACCCGTTCATCTATTAAAAATGATGCTGTGTTAATTTCATTCTATGAAAGTTTTACAATACATCAACTATATTAAAGTCTTCATATATTATTTTAGTTGTTGCATATTGATGCCTCAATTATAGATTTATGCATGTTGATAAGTACAAGTGCATAAACAAGCTAAAAATAGTTCAATGTTTATTATAATGATGCTAAAAGAAGTCTATTAAAGGTCAAATTATGTGAGATAAGCAGCAAAGAATCATGATGACCTCTGTAGGAAAAGACAAGATCTAATAAGATGAGCCATATTAGGTAAAAGGGTACCTGATTTTAATTTTGGAATATTGATGCAATACCAACTAACTTTAAATTGAGTGAGCAATTATAATTATCATGTTAGATTAAATATGAACCTTATCAGTGGTTATTCTGACCAATGCGCAAAGTGACGAAAAATAATATAAATTTGATATGATACTTCTTTACAATTTTTATCCATTTTTATTTAATTTATTTTTATAGAATTTTGGATTTTATTTTCAATTTCTTATTTTATTTCTTTAGTTTCTTTTAAATATTTTAATTTCAATAAATTTAATTTCATATTTTTTCTTGTTTAATACAGTTTTCTTTAAATTAATCTCTTCTAAGCTTTATTTTTAATTTTATATTTTCTAAGTTTTATTTAAAATTTTTTAAAATGGCTTAATTTTCTTTACTTTATTAACTAACTTTTATTTTTCTTGTTGATTTTGCTTTTAATTCTCTTATTTTCTTTTCAGGTTAGATTTTATTTTCATTTTTTAGTCTTATTTTTTAAATTTTAGTATTATTATTTTTTTTAATGATTATTGATGCTAGAAAAAAGATCCAGTTTGTAAATATAACACTCGAGTCAAAGTACAAGAAGGTATAAAAAGAGTTATGATTGCACAAAATATAAGTTTTATGATGAGAAAAATAATAATGGTATTAAAAGACTGAAAGATCATTCAGCTTACATACACCTTGATATTGGAGAATGTAAAAAATGTAACTGAGATGTTGAAATGAATTTTACATAATATTTGACAAATTATAACACCTAAAAAAAACAAGTTAATGATTGAAAATAGCTCCTAATTTGATTCTCGACATGGAGATCTTTGTAGTGTAAGTTATTTTCTTTCTTTTGAAAGATCACCTCAAGGACTAATGGATAAATTTGTTGTGAAATTAGAAGATAGAGAATAATCTCTAGCAATTCCTCCTCCAAACGACAATAGGACATTAGAGGATAGAGTATGTTTGAATATTACATTTTTTTATAAAAATGGAATTCCATTCAACATAGTAAGAAGTTTTACACGGATTAAGATGCTCCACTCTTTTAGGAGTTATGATCAATGATTAGATCTTTCTAGCATATATGAACTTCGAAAATGAATATTACAAGAAAAAAGAATAAACAAAAATAGCATATGTGTCAAGACCCGCCCAGGACTTAGAATTAATTAAGGCGAGAATAGACGATCGGACGTTGAAACTATGTTTTATATTATGATATTTCTATCACTAACAGTTTATTATCCACATATTAATTGAATTAGCCTCCAAAGGAAATAATTAAATAACATATTAAAAAGTTACCTTTCATGTTATTGACCTCACCTTCTATTAGGGGTGTAAACAAGCCGAACACGAGCGAGTTATATTTCGAGCTCAACAAGTGTGTTCGTGTTCGGCTCGTTTTCTTAGCGAGCCGAACACGAGTTGTTCACGAACAAAGAGTCATTTTAACAACCCTAA